CCAGGGGGGATGGTCACGCCGCAATCCCTTCTCCTCCATTCTCCTCTCGGGATCTTGGGCACGCACGCACACGCGCCCGGCGTGAGATTTAAGCCACCGGGTCCGAGACGCGAACCGCGGTCGACTACGTGGGAGTCCAGCGACATAGCCATTACGCTAACTGCTGGTTCCCGTGTATTATGAGTCTTAAAGGAAACGAGTATTAGGCTGAAAGGAACAACTGACAGTAAAGCTGAAAACAAATTGACTTGGACCCAAAAGAAATTATAAATATAGTTATAAAATTGAAATAATAAACCATAGTTCTTGTGATTTATGAGCTGTTTAATAACCCTGGATATTTGATATGGAGCCACCTATAGATGTAACCATGGAAAAGGACTAAAAAGTGTATGTTTCCATATCCTTTGTGTTTCTGTCGTGCGACTGTATGTGAACGTGGGAGAAGGGAAAGCAAAAGATTAACTGGGCCCAAATAAAAAATATTTCCAGAGGGCATGTGTGCTTGCTGGAGAGAGAAAGCACCCTTCCCCTGCATGGGGAATGGTCATGCCACAATATCTTCTCCATTTCTCCCTCCTGTGGGGATTTTGGTGTATGCACACACATATAGCTGGTGTGTTTCTCAAGCCACCAAGTCTGGGATTTGAACCATGCAGTCAGCCATGTGGGATCCAGCCACTTTAACCACCATGCCACTGATGGTCTACATATTTTTGTTTTTCCCCTCTTTGGCAAGTAAGCAAGTTAATAGGAGAAGAAATTCAAAGGACATGTAAAGAAGACCTTGTGTGTGAAATGTGTTTTTTTTTAGCACATAAGGAAGAGAAGGGAGAGTGAAAATGGAACTTAAAGAAAAAATTAATACTCCCTCTATTAACTCAGAATACCTACCAGAAAGGAGCCATACTTATCTCCAGAACTGAAGAAAAGAGAAAGTATGGTTGGGCTTCTGCCATGTGCCAAGCCTTTCTTAACTTTTATGTCACTGAGAACCAGCAGTTAGCGTAATGGCTATGTCTCTGGACTCCCACGTAGTCGACCGCGGTTTGTGTCCCGGACCCGGTGGCTTAAAACTCACGCCGGGCGCGTGTGCATGCATGCCCAAGATCCCAAGAGGAGAATGGAGGAGAAGGGATTGCGGTGTGACCATCCCCTCTGGGGAGTGATTTCTCGCTTTCTGTCTCCATGTCTCTGTCTGTCTGGCGAGTGCACATGCCCTACAGTGAAAATCTCTCAAAAAAAAAAAAAAAGCAAAACAAAAACTTTTATGTCACTTAACACTCATCGTGTTCCTAGCAGGTGGGCATTCCTTGTTTTTTTTACAAGTGATTGCTCAGAAACTGGATAGCAAAGAGTAACTCCATGGATCCACGTTGAGGAAGTGATGGAGCTGAGAATAACCTGTCTGACCCCAGAGCCCACGCACTTTCTGTGACTTAGCTGGGAAAAAAATGACCTTCCCCCACCATCCCAGCCTTCCCTGTCCTTCCCGCTTTACTGAGTCTTCCTGCTCAGGTGTTACCGTGTAACGGCTCTAAACAACAGGTCCCCGAACATTAGCTCTCTTCTCCAACTCCCTATCAATTGTCCCCATCTCTCTAACCACATCATTAGCCACAGACAATTTTTGGACTTTTTGTATGTTTATTTTATTGGGGTGTTGAAGGTCATGATGCGTTTTTGCGTAGAAAAACCTGGAAACATAGATCATGACTTTCCCAACAAGCTAATGCGTGAGGAACTTCCATAGCGTATCTGCCTTGAATGTTAACAGTTACAAAAAGCTAAAGTTAAAATGCATCCTCCAACAGGGTAGTTGGACATTTACGTGTGACGACTGATCAGTATGGCACACTGCAGAATACAGTTAGGATTTCTTGCTTGCTTACAATTTTAGATACTGACTTTATTAAAATATTTTTATATTCATGATACAGCCCATGTGCCTGCATGTGAGAGGGAGTGAGAAAAGGAGGAGGAGACAGAGAGAGGAAGAGAGAGAGTGAGAGAGAGAGAGAGAGGCACCCTCCACAGGGTCTGGTCCTCCAGTCCACCCGCCACTGGATCCCGAGCTCTCATGCCTGGCATGTTTGGTGTTGACTAGAATTGCAGGTGCCATCTGGGATCTGACTTCTCTTGAGCAGCACATTACCTCTGTGCCACAGAGCCAGCCTGGGCTTTTTTGTTTTTGTTTTTGTTTTTGTTTTTAAATGAGTATGCAGTTTTAGGTTGACCAGTGTAAAAACACCTGGGCTTCGGAGCCCAGCTCCAGCGGCACAGGTGTGGGTGCTGCCATGCCATGCTGGGAGCCTACGGGAAAGCTCCGGATTTGCAGCCCTGTCTACCTGTGGTCCTGGGTCACTGCAGGGCTCAGGGAAGGCTCTCTGCATGAGCATCCTATGAAGGGTCTCCTCTGCAACCCCAGAGATCACTGAATTTATGACACCTAGGCTTCGGGTTCTCACTGAACTTACGACACCTAGGCTTCGGGTCCTAACGTTAGTCGGCCGGTGTTTCTTTTCTCCTAGGATTTGTTTGGTGTCAGCATGGTTGTCCCTTTGTTGAGCCTTCACGTCCGGTCCCTTGGAGCAAGTCCAACAGTGGCTGGAATAGTAGGTGAGTGGTTGATACTGCTTGATGTCAGAGCGCCGCATCTTAAATCCCCCCAAGTATCTGGAGACAACTCAGTCTTGGCGCCAGATATTATCCTAAAGGTGAGTGGAAACCAAGAGAAAAAAAATTCCAGAATAGTTTCAAATGTTACCCAAGAGCCACTGTCGTTCATCATTTCTGGACTACCTGTTTTCAGAGAGGTTTTAAGGTTGGAGCATTTTCCTCGCACCCCCAATACCAAGGCTGTCACCAACACTGACCGAGGCTCACTGAGGAGCTGGCCGTGTAGCCTGCAGGAACCCTCCTAGCCTGATGGGAGGGATGAGAACATAATCTACACAGATGGCACCTTGAAGGGACAGGGTGTGGGTGAGCCTTGGCAGGTTAGCGGCAAGCTCCTGCACTGTCCCGGCACCCTGACAGGCCTGTATGGTTTCTCTGCCTGCGCAGCATCCAAAAGCCGCTGATTTATGAAGGAGTGAGGACATTGCTGGATTTAAGAGTGCTAATTGATAAGAATCGTTAAGATTAATAGTTGTTATTTATTTCTTTATTTAGCTTTTTGTCATAGGATGTGTGCACTCACTAGAGAGAGACAGAGAGAGAGGCAAAGTGAGAAATCGCCTGCCCAGGAGACATGGCCATCCTGCAGTCCCTTCTCCTCCATTCTCCTCTCAGGATTTTGGGCATGTACGCACTAGCACTTGGCATGATTTTCAAGGTGCCAGGTTTGAGACTCAAACTGTGGTCAGTCATGTGGGATCCAGCGCCTTAACCACCACACCACCTGCTCACTCCAAGATGAGCAATTCTTGAGCGTGCACAAACTGGACAAAGAGTGTTTTCAGACAGTTTTGTACATATTTGTTAAATCTTGATACACATCATGGGGTTTTTTTGTTTGTTTTTTTTTTAGATTTTTTTTGATATAGGACACATGTGCTCCACAGAGAGACAAGAGAGACAAAGAAACATCCCCCCAGGAGATGGCCACGCAGTAATCCCTTCTCCTCTATTCTCTTCTTGGGATCTTGGGCATGTATGCACGTGTGTCCCAGCATGAGTTTTAAGCCTCTGGTTCCGGAACTTGAACCACGTCGGTCATGTAGGAGTCCAGCAGTGGAACCATTATGCCATCTGCTGGGCTCATCTCATGACTTGGTTTCACTTGAGGAATGTATTGGAATTATACTGGAGCAGCAGGAGGGCTTTTAGGAAAAGCTGAGGGGACTTGTGGAATGATCGTTGAGGTTAAAGAACGCTACTAAACCTTTAAGTTCTTTTTAAACTGAAGCATTTTATGTAGCTAAAATGTTAGTGGCATATGAGACAATGTTCAAATTGTAAGACTTAGCAGAATTTTCTAGGATTCGGAATTCAAGTCCCCTGAATACTTTTTATGCCAGCTTATAAGTCGGAGCGATCCAGTTTTCAGTCAGAGGATTACTTTGAGGGTCCTAAGTTGGACCCTCACTATTATTCTCTCTTTTGTGTATCCTCAATTTTACTTTGAAGGCCTTTTAATAAAAATAGATTTACAGGGTCCGTCAGTAGCCTGGGTGGTTCAGACAACTGAACCCCAAATGGCTGATTGCACTATTTGAGTCCTGGTTCCTGCAACGTGAAAAACACACTGGGTGTGCATGCATGTATACCCAGAATCCCAGGAGGAGAATGGAGGAGAAGGGATTACAATGTGGTCATTCCCCCTGGGAAGCGCTTTCTCTCTCTCTCTGGCAAGCATATGTGCCCTATAGCAAATTCTTTTAAAATGGATTTATTTTCTGCCAAGTAGGGGGAAAAAAAAAAAGATGTGGGGCAATTTTCCTTTTTTTCTTTTTTTTTTTGGGAGAGGTTTTCGCTACAGGGTGCGTGCGCTCACCAGACATACAGAGAGAGACATAGAGACAGAAAGCGAGAAATCACCCCCCAGAGGGGATGGTCACACTGCAATCCCTTCTCCTCCATTCTCCTCTCGGGATCTTGGGCATGCACGCACACGCACCCGGCGTGAGTTTTAAGCCACCGGGTCCGGGACGCGAACCGCGGTCGACTACATGGGAATCCAGCGACATAGCCATTATGCTAACTGCTGATTCACCCCCCCTTTTTTTTTTAAGAATTATTTATTTATTTAATTCCATTTGTTGCTATTATTATTTTTTAACTTTGACCAGACAGAGACAGAGAGAGTGAGAGAAAGGGAAGATGAGAAAGCAAGTCACCAGGTCCAGGACTTGAACCATGGTCCCGGTTGGCCATGTGGGAATCCAGCTCTTTTAATCACCACGCCACCTGCTGGCCCCTGCAATTTCCTTTTTTTAAAACTGTTTTTTTACCCTAGTTTTTTTTCCTGCATACTTCTGTGTAATTATTGCCACATTAATCCATTTTTGCAGTAGGTCTAGACGGGTCCAGTATATTTTATTGATGTTATTGATATTTTTTTTCAGGCTCCTCCTATGGCATTTTGCAACTCTTTTCTAGCACATTGGTGGTAAGTTATCTCCCATCTTACAAACATCTTGGAAATAGTATCATACACCCTGGAGAGTCGTCCTCATGGCTGCAGTAAAGTTTGGGGCCTGAGGGTTACCAGGAAGCAGGCAGGCGCGCAAGGAGAACGTACAACACTGTAGATCAAGTAGGATCCTTCTGCGATCCTTCGTGATCTTTCTTCCTCTTCTGACCTGTGCGAAGGCGAGGGCTAAAGGCTGATTCTGAACTGAACACAGTGTGGTAAGCCGTAGATCTGGGCTGAGAACTATTTTTTAAAAAAATTATGACATGTCCTTTCTATGATTCCCTGCTATTTTTTTTCTAGAGATAATAATCATTATTCTAGTGAATAAAATATAAATAAAAGTTATTACCAATGTGATTGTTTGCTTTACTTAATTCACAACAATCAAATCAACTTATAAGATTCTGTTTGAAGTTGTGCATTGTCAACTGCATGTTTTATTGTTTATAACTTAAGACTTAAGTGTGTAGAGGGGCCGTGTGGAGTGGTTGGTTGTATGACTGTCTTAATCCATTTTTGCATTGTGAACAGAAATAATGTGAGACTGGGTGAATTTAACGGAGTAGAAGTTGATTTTGACTCCAAAATGTGGGAAGTCCAAAGGCATCACAGAAGGATGGAAGCCAGAATTTTAGTAGAGGAGAGCTTGGTCTGCATCCACGGGGCTTTGTTCCCTTCTCATTTCTTCATATACACATCCAAATTTAATCACGGGGGCCCTGCCCTAATGACACCGTCACACCCAAGGGGGCCCTGTGGGGAAAACTTGAAGGAATTAAGCTTTCTTAACAATACAATCAAGATCTAAGAAATGAATTTTTGGGGAGACATCCAAATTTCTTTTTAATTTTTTGGAGAGGTTTTTGCTGTAGGGTGTGTGCGCTCACCAGAAAAACAGAGAGAGACAAACAGAAAGTGAGAAATCACTGCCACCAGGGGGATGGCCTCACGCAATCCCTTCTCCACCATTCTCCTCTTGGGCACGCATGCACACACACCCAGTATGAGTCTAAGCCACTGGGTCCAGATTTGAACCAGGGTTGACTACATAGGAGTCCAGCAACATAGCTATTACGCCATCTGCTGGTCCCTTTTTTTTCATTTCTTTTTTCTTTTTTTGAGATATCCAAATTTTAAGAAATGAAACTTTGGGGGTGCAAACTATTGAGTAGTCAGAAAATTCATGACATTTCTTTCTTTCTTTTACTATACAAAAATGTGTCATGCCTTTTCCAACAACCCAATACTATTGAAGCCGTCATTCTGCAGGGTGGAATAGAGTGGTTGGAAGTGAGAGTCAGTATAGTCTCATAGATCGGTCATTAGTGACTTAATCCATTTTTGCATAGGTCTAAACAACAGTCCTAGCCACTGTTTCATAGGTTAGTAAAGATCTGCAGTGCTGGAAGCCACATAGCTGACCTCAGGTTCCGATCTCTGTGGGCCTAAATCACACCAGCTGTGAGCCTCCGAGATCCTGATGACCTGGAGGGCTGGGGATAGAGGGGGTTGGTAACATGATGAGATCCAGTCTCGGACGCCAGTTTCTGTCTCTGCCCCCCTCTCCCTGCTGCCCATTCACTAGAGATGAAAAATAAAATAAACTTTAAATAGTAGCTGGAAGGGTAGACTCATATTTAGTGAACACAATGTACTATACTTATGTTTCCCCGTAGGTATCTGTTGTAAAATATATTTTTAAAAGAAATGAAATTGATTCAGAGTTCATAAGGAATTCTTTCTCTTTTTTAAAAATTTCTTTTTCTTGGGAACCAGCAGTTAGTGCAATGGCTATGTCGCTGGGCTCCCGTGTAGTCGACCGCGGTTCGCGTCCCAGACCCGGTGACTTAAAACTCATGCCGGGCGCGTGTGCGTGCGTACCCAAGATCCGGAGAGGAGAATGGAGGAGAAGGGATTGCGGCGTGACCATCCCCCCCTGAGGGGTAATTTCTTGCTTTCTGTCTCTCTGTCTCTCTCTGTCTGTCTGGCGAGCACACGCGCCCTACAGTGAAAATCTCTCAAAAAAAAAAAAAAAATTTCTTTTTCTTTTTTCTTTTTATTTTTGCTGCTAGAGGATGTGAGCACTCACTAGAGCAAGGCAGAGAAGAGAGGAGAAAACACCCCCGTGGGGAATTGTCACACTACAATCCCTTCTCTTCCATCTCCCTTTCCTGTTAGCATGTGCACACATGCACATGTGACCAGCGTGTTTCTTCAGCTGCTGGGTCTGGGACTCAAACCCCACAGTCAGCTGCGTGGACAGCCTTACCCACCAGGCCCCGGAGACAGCTCCATATGGAATTCTTCAGTAAATAAAGAGCTGCTCCTTAATTTATATTTTTTGAAGGCGTTCATATATTAAATTTGCAAAACAATGGTATTTTCTTCTCATTTAAGCTTTATAGTAGCACAAGAAAGTTTGTTTCATTTTAAATAGGGTGAAAGTAAGATTCATGAAGTTTAATAATTTGATTAAATTACCTAATCTCAGTATCTAGACTCTGAGCCCGAATTTTTTTTTTTTTTTTGTAAAAGTCATATACCTTTGCCTCAATGATATTAAAAAAAAAGTAAATAGATAACTAGAGTTTAGAAATTGTACCACAGAGTTTACTGGGGAAAATGTCGTATTTTATATTTTTGGTTGTGAGAAGAGAGCTCGACCTACATTTTAATAAACACCTCTTCTCCCTTGTTGCCATGAATGACAGGATTTACCTTATTAATGGCCAATTTGCATTCTATGTTGTATATGTACCATATTTTCTTTATCCGTTCATCTCCTCATGGAAACTTTGACTGATTCTATATCTTGGTTACTGTGAATAGAGCTTCAATAAATATGGAAATGCAGATATTCCTTCAACATATTGATTTCCTTTGCTTTGGATATATCCCCAATAATGGATAAGTGGATCCTAAGGAAGTTCTACACTTCGATTCCTGAGAATGTTCAGACTGTTTTCCATGAGGGCTGCGCTAATTTACCTCCTCACTATTAATGTATAAGAGTTCCTCTTTCTCTATATCCTGTCTCTAGATTTTGGGCACACATACACACGCAGTGTGCCTAGCATGTTTTTTCAAGTCACTGGGTCTGGGTCTCAAACTGTGTAGTCGGCCACGTGGCATCCAGCCACCCTAACCACCGTGCCATAGGCTGGTCCTGTAGTATATATTTTTAACAAATTGAAAAGAACTAAAAGTCTAACAAAAATTAAGTTCATTAAATAAATATTGGTATATAGAAGAATGTAAATTATTAAAAATAATAACAGGCCAAACTGTAATGTCATAGAATGATGTTAAAGTTACGTTAAGTTAAAATCAAGCTACAAAATACATGATACTATATGAACTTTTATTAGAAATACATATCTACCATGATTTGAGTCCCAGACCTGGCGGCTTGCTTTCTCACTTTCCCTCTCTCTCTCTTTCTCACTCTGTCCCTCTCTGGTCAAATTAAAAATAAATAAATAAATAACATTAAATAAAATGATTATTGCAAAAAAAGAGAATTATATTATTTTTCCACTCCCCTGTGGGTGGGACATAAAAAATAATACTGTGGCACATGGAATGGCAGAACTGAGCATCTCAGGATCTTAAACCAAAGTCCCTGATGTTTTACAGTGGGTCACCTTGTTTTGGACATTGACATGACAGTGGTTGTTACTATAAAGTGGGTCAAAGAACTTTCTGTCACTTGTGTTCCTCAGGGCTGCTGGAGTGATGTGGTGGGAAGAAGGTCCTCTCTGCTGGTGTGCATTTTGCTCAGTGCCCTCGGCTACCTCCTCCTCGGAGCAGCAACAAATGTGTTCCTGTTTGCCCTGGCTAGGGTCCCTGCAGGTGAGTCCTGGCCCACGTGTGCGTCTGTGTCTGTCTGGGCATGTGTGTGCTCATTTCAGACAAACCTGTACTCTCTGTACCTCGGTGTCTGTATGTGGCTCTCCCCTGCTTGACATTGTCTCTTCGATCAGAGCTTACATAAAAAGGTATAATGACAGCAGTCACAGCAGTGACTGTATCACTAGGAGCTGCCCTTTACTGGACCCGGAGCAGGTCCAGACATGCTGCTCACTTGTCCAGAGCTGCAAACCTTGTACTTGGCAAAGCTCATTGGGGACAGCCATGCTACTGCACCAGGCCTGGCTCCTTCCTGGAGCTCTGTCTACACTCAGGCAGTCAGGAGATACAGACCCCTCGGGCCAATGCAATGGTTACTCTTCCTTCCCTTGCTAGTTTGGGAACTGGGCTTCTTGACTTCAGCCCCAGATTTACTTCTATAGCCTTTTGTGAGTCTGACTGTTACTCAGGAAAGACACTAGTGCTGTTTTGTAGCAGGTCACGGATGAGTTTTTGGGTTTCATTATTGTCTTGACTACTTCTGACTTCTTGAAATAGCTTTTATTTTGTCCACTCATTGCAACAGTCTGTTCTTTGAACCACCACCTGTGCGTGGTGCGTGATGTTGGTGGGTGGATGGTTACCACGGATGCTCTCCATTGACCTTTCTCAGCACTAGAGCCTCTCTTCTCACCTTCCTCATTAGAGCATCGACAGACTTTGCTTCCCTGGTCGACAAGTCCGCAGTACTGGAGCTCTGCTCAAATTCAGTTAAGCTATTAATTTTTAACTAACACCCCAAATGAATGCAGCATAAATAAGTTACGTTGACACTTAGTTGGTAATCAGCTCATTTGGGAATTCCATACCATTTCTTTGACATACACACACTCTGAAAGTTTTATTAATTATATCCTCCAAAATTCGTAACTGTGCCTTTTCGTTGCCTAAAATATGCTTTATGGAGGTCTTTGCTTAAATGTAGACAATTATTCTAACAGACTTCACCCCTACACTCCAACTGATTCCTGTTCTGTGCATATCTGGTGTCGGCGCTCTCGTGTGTCCTTGGCGTGGTTGGCTTTCTAGGCATAACTCACACTGCTGCTCAGTGCTGCGTACTGTTCACAGTTGTATAGAAGCAGATGAGGGAGACGCGTAAGAACCTAGATTTGTTACGAAGTGGGTAAAGACTTGTAAAAGGGTTAGCATGCTTGTATTTAGTTTGAAGTCAGCCTGACCTAAGTAGGGCTAGTTCTGTTGGGTGTGCCTCCTAGTCTTCTCCTAGTCAAGGAGAACTGCATGTCATAATTCCTTCTTCCCATGTAACTCCCACAGTGTTTGATGGGACATGAGCAGCAGGGAGCCCAGGGAGCTTCACCAGGTTCTGCTGCCCTGAGAGATCAGTTTGGATTCAGTTCCTGGCATCCTGAAAAGGAGACACTAACTTCGAATGTGCCTGAGGCGGCACTGTCTGAGTGGGACACATCCTTTTCTCTCCCCTCCTTTCTGCCCACCAGCAGAGAGGACCTTTTTATGACCGCATCACTCCACTCCAGCCTCTGAAAGATAAGAGAAGGCTGTTCTGTGTTGTCCACGGGAGGCTCTCATCACAATCCTCTTCCCTCACGTGTGTAAGGCGAGTCCAGCATCAGTGTTATCCCCCAAATCTTCATAGAACTCCTGAAAGAGTTCTTGGGAATTGTTTCCTAGCCTAGTCCTTTCTCACAATTGAGGAAACAAGTCTCAAAATAGTCTACTGACTTCTGAAAAAGATTTATAGTCTTGCTTCCCAAAGAAGTTACCACACTAAATTTGAGACAGAACAGGGACTAGAACCAGAACTCATGCAGTGAAGCCCACGGTGGTACACGATGTGCAGAGAGAGGTCGACTGCAGGGAGGTCACTTCACAGTCAGAAGAGACTCAGGCCGGCTCACCAGCATAATTGAGTTCCTACTGTGTGTAGATCAGAATGGTGGGCAGCCTGGGGCCAGAATCCATCGACACGTTTATGAATGTATTGTGTTCCACATGGGTGTCTGGGTGCGCAGGAATCAGATCTGCAGAAGTGCGGGGAGTATAAAGTTGTGACGTACATTTTAATCTCCTATCAGAAGTCATGTCACAGCCCTCAGCTTGGTTTGGTGGACAAACTCGCAAGCTAGTAGGTAGTCAGCGTGTCTTAGTTACATGCCCATGCCATCAGATTTCTTCCTACTCACTGCCATCTCCCCTGCTCTGTTTCACTCCATTGCCTTCATCTCCTCATGGATACTCTGTACTCCCCGCGGTGAACATCTAGGCTCTTTGAGGTCAAGAATAGCTCTCTTTTCTTTTTTCTAATTCGCTTGCTTGCTTTATGCCCCAGGTTGAGACAGTGCTGGCCATACAGTAGGTGTGAATAAATATTTGTTCACTGGGTGAACGAATAACAAATAATCTCTCCATGGAAGCCACTAGGAACTGCTATTGCGTAGCAGAAGTACCAAAGTCACTGGGATGTCAGTATGGGAGGCAGGCTAGCCAAGGCTACAGGAACGTGGTTGTCAGGACTGACCAGGACTGTGGTGCTAGACAAGTCTAATTATGGTCTTAGTGGTTCAAAGAAAATGGATCAGAATGCCTTCAGGGATGGAGATTTAAGTGCGAGATGACACGGTGGGTACTTGTGGGCTAGAAAAGATTACAGTGCATGTTTCTTGTCCCCTTACAGGTATATTTAAACATACCCTCTCCATCTCAAGGGCTCTGCTTTCTGATCTGGTTGCCGAAAAGGAACGGCCATTTGTAATCGGACATTTCAATACAGCGTCCAGTGTGGGCTTCATCTTGGGTCCCATGGTTGGCGGCTATCTCACCGAATTAGATGGCGGGTTTTATCTGACAGCTTTCATCTGTTTTTCTGTCTTCATTCTCAATGCTGGTAAGTTGACATTTAATCATGAGAAGGTTGTTTTGTGTACTCATCCTGGTCATACTGACTGTTCTTCCTAATTTTCTCTTATCTCTTCACAATTTGTTTTTCTTAGAATAGGCATACTCCTTGTTCAAAAAGGAAAACCGTGTTGAGGAACCTCCCTGCCACTTTCACTAGTAGCCATTCCAGTCTATGTTCTGGAACATCAGCAATGAACAAGGGTTCCCTTTTCTCCACATCCTCACTTAACATTTATTATGGGTTTGATTTGCATTTTCCCAGTGATTAGTGATGTCAACCACCTTTTTAAAAAAAAAAAAAGTTTTGTTAATTTGCCAAAGGGTATGTGTGCTCACTGGAGAGAGACAGATGGAGGAAAGTGAAAATGCACCGTTCTTAGGGAATGGTCACACCACAACCCCTTCTCCATTCCTTACTCCTTTTGGGATTTTGGACAGGCACACACACGCCCAGCATGTTTTACAAGTGCCAGATTGGGGAATGGAACTGAGCAATTAGCCATGTGAGACCCAGTCTTCTCAAACATCATGCCTCCACTTGGCCTGAGTACCTTTTGCCTATTGCCTATTCTGTTGGAGAATTATTATTCAAGTTTTTTGCCCATTTTTTAATTCTTTCTTTTTTTTTTTTTTTAGGTTTTGGTTTTGTTTTGTTTTTGCTATTGTGTTATAGGAGTGCCCTGTATATTTTTAATATTATGCCTTACCAGATGCATGATCCTCAAATCATATATCCATTCTGTAGATTGCCCTTTACATTTCTGATTTGTCTCCGAGTTGTCTTTCACTTTGCTGACTTCTGTCCTCTGCTATATAACTGCTTGTTAGTTTGAGGCAGGCCTTTTGTCTGTTTATGCATTTGTTGTTTGGGCATTTGGTGTCATGTCCAAGAAGTCATAGCCAACGCTAATTTTTTGTCTATTTGTTTTTGGGATTTGTTTGTTTATTTGTTTTTCACTCTAGGATGTATGTACTTGCCAGAGACAGAAAGAGAGAGAGAGAGAGGATGTAAAAAATGACCCTCTGAGGGGATGGCTACTCCTTAGTTTCTTCTCCTCCACTCTCTTCTTGGGACTTTGGGCACACCTGCACATGTGCCCAGCGTACTTGTCGAGCCATCATGTCTGGGACTTGAACTATGCAGTTGGCTATGTGGAATCCAGCCACCTTAACCGCCATGTCATCTGACTTGCCTGCCAAGGCTAATTTTAAGAAGCTTCCTCCCTCCAGTTTTATTTCTAGGTGTTTTATAATTTTAGGTGTTATGTTTGTCTTTAATCCATTTTGAGTTTTGCATATAGTATAAGATAAGGGTCTAATTTTATTCTTTTTTTTTTTTTTTAGAGGTTTTTGCTATAGGGCATGTACACTCGCCAGAAAGACAGAGAAAGAGAGATAGAAAGCAGGAAATCACCACCCAGGGCGGATGGCCATGCCACAATCCCTTCTCCCCCATTCTCCTCTCAGGATCTTGGGCACGCACGCACACGTGCCCAGTGTGAGTTTAATCCACCGGGTCCAGGACTCAAACCGCAGTCAACTACATGGGAGTCCAGTGACATAGCCATTATGCTAACTGCTGGTCCCTAATTTTATTCTTTGACATAGTACTTATTCTCTTAGGTAAAATATAAATAAAAACATCTACTTTTATTTTTAATGAGTTTATTACATTTTAAAATGTAATTATGGAGATTTAGAAAAAAAGCAAAAGCAGACTAAGCTATCCTCTGCTGCAGACCTCCAGGCCTTCCCTTCAGCCTGCTCAGGGGTGGGAAGACCTGACCTCTCCCCTTTCTCTGTCTCCCTTGTGTGCGCCAGCCACTCTGGCTTCCTGGTCAGCCTACAGGAGAGCTTTGTACCAGCTCCTTCCTCTCTGCCATGTTATTCCTGTACATCTTCACCGGCTCCCTCCACTCATCAACCATGTCTCAAATATT